CGCATGCTCTTCTTAACGACACTGTAATTCAAACCATTGAATGCCAGCGGTTGCTGCAAAACTTTATTTCCTCATATGCTGTCTCAAATCTGGTAACAGCATAGATTAAAAACTAGGTAATCCAGCAAAATACTTACAAAAAAAGTGTGGCAAAAAAATGTCATTCAGAATGTTTATCTCATAAATATCTCATAGATATTCTCAGACCTAACGTGGGGAATCGTATCCACGTTGCCAAATCATTTCAGTCTGATGGTCTTTACAGAATAAAGCCAGACCCTGTCAGGGGGCCATATGTCAGATGCGTGTACTTAAATGCCAGCAAAGAAACTTAACAGCTAAATCTGCCTAACAGTGGTGTAAATCATAATCCCACGCCTTCTGTTTTTCCAATGCTATAGGTGAAAACCCCTTCTCAACCTCAGCGACCTCTGACCTGTGCTTTCCCTCTAACCTGCCCCAACGTATCTCCTCGAGGTATGCAGCTAAGGAGCTCCAGTCAGGGTCAGAACCTGTCGCCCTGCGGCTTCACCCCTGCCCTGTCCTGGCAATCACAACGACCAGGTAAAAGAAATCATTTAACGGCCTATAATTAAGTTAGTCTTTAAGTCTAAAAAGAACATTGCAGTTTTCTAGTGGAGGGGAGAAAAAAAAAGGGCAGGACACTGCTCCAGTGTGTCATGTTTGGAAAATGAAAAGTGAAGTCTACTCCAGTTTCCTTCTTATTGACTTCACTTGAACATGTATGAATCTTGTTTTGCTTTTTTTACCACACTTTGTTCTTTTGTATGATTAGATCAGATGTGGGCTAACTTTTTGACTTGCCCTAAATTGCCCTAAAATTGAACAGGGGGCCGGGTCAGGAGCAGATAGATGGAGTGGTCGTGTGAACTAAGATAAATGACATAAAAAAAATCAAAGATAAAGGCAAAAATGCTAAAATGTTTTTAGCATTTTGGCAAAAATTGCTAAAATGTTTTTAGCATCTTCTACACCATCTATTGGTGAAACATAAGAATTGCAGGGAAAAGGCAGGAGTATAATGATAATCTTACTTCTACATTATATATATTTAATAAAAATGAATTATATAATTTAGATTAGTTTGCCCATGCCTCGGTTAGATTGTCTTACAAATATAAATATTTTTATATTTTATATTAAGTTTATGTCTTTTATTTTTTTTAGGGCACAGACCTCACAGTGATCCCGTCCTGGAGAAGCTTCATGGTGGAGTTGAGAGCCTTGGATCAGGAAGCTGCTGCAGCACTCCTCCGGGGAGCTCCTGCTACTCCTCCCAGCACAGCAGCCCTGCTCCACCACTGTCCACCAAACAGCCTGACTCCCCTCTGCGCCCTTCCATCACCCGTTCCCTCTCTCATCTCCTGCTGGAAGAAGAGGAAGAGCCAGAGACCAATGTAGACACAGGAGTTCCCGTCTCGCTTCGCTGCAAAGCGGGAGTCAAAACAATCACTCGCTCTTCATCCACAGACATTTTGATGACGTCCCACTTAGAGAGGCCGGCAGCTGTCGGCGAGTCGGCTGTTGAGAACATGGCAAAGGAGTTGAGTGAGTGTCTACAGCAGACACACAAACATCCACAGTACCCCTCCAGGATGTGGAGCTCTGGTTGTTACACCGATGCAGTCAGGGAGAACTGTGGGGGCAGGGTCACAGCAGCAGGACAGAGCCCATGTCGTGGGCTGCTGCTCGAGGCCAGGACTAGTACTGATCTGCTGGTGTCATTCTCAAACAACCAGGAGCCGGAAGACGAGTTCTTCATCTGAGTCAATACCTCTGTGCTGTCCGCAGATGCCACCTCCTCACAGAGCAGGAGGTGAGAGTGCTCGTCAAGGATAAAAACCAAAGTGTGTGAGGAGGGGCAGATCGAACAGGCGTCAGCAAAAAAAAAAAAAAAAAAAACGAGAGCGAGAATTCAAAATAACATCCTCCTTTGCAAAATTGATCAGATATTCATTTTACACCTCTCTCCCAACCAATACGTTTTTTTTTTGCCAATCCCTTGTTGAATATTTACAGCATTGGACAATATGCTGTGGCTCTCCCAACCAATACTTTTTTTTTTGCCAATCCCTTGTTGAACATTTACAGCATTGGACAATATGCTGTGTTCCATTTCATTCATTCATTTATTTATTTGACCCATGCCCCCCCTGCATTGGCACTAAGTGGCGTGCACCCCTCACTTTGGGACCCTCTGCTCTAAAGTATTATGTGCTACAATTAATTGTGAATAGAAACCTGATTCAAACTGTAACATTCCTACTCACTGCGTAATACATATATATTCTTTTTATAGATGCACAACAGTGAGCCTTTTCCTACATCTTTAATGTTGCAGTAATGGAGGGGATTTGGCCAACGACGTGTTAATTACCGCAAAGGCCACAGTGATCAGAGGGATCAGCACGGAGCCCATCTTAGTGAAAACCCTACACTGAATCCTGGACATCGCCAACAACAGATGGCAGCAAAACCCACGCCAATATGCACAGTGCAATTAGTCACTCTCTAAAGGGACAGTAAGGGATGAGAACTTTAATCTACCAAGACGATAGCGATTGAAAAACCCTAGGTCAGTTTTCACTGGGATTTCATCCGTTGTTCCTTTTTGTTCCCTCTCTTGTTCCTCGCTGTACATGAGACAGAGAGAAGGACATTAATACTTCTCCCAGGTATTCACTTTGAAAAGTTTTGAAAAATGTTTTGAGTTTAGAGCAAAAACATATTTAACTATATGGAGGTAAATTTGTAGTCTTAACCCGAAAATGAAACTGAAACTTGAGTTTTGAAGATGGTTTAGTTTTGGCAAGCGCAATGTAAACATGACATCATAATACTAAACTAAAGCTGACTTCAGCAGAGATAACTGATTAGGTTAGCACTTAAACTGTACAATGTGTTATGGAAGGTGTTATGGACTCTAATAACTACAGTTGATGTTGGGTTTTTTTTTTCTAGCGGCACCTAGTGGGTTGGGACACTCTAGCATGTACAGTAAC